ACCCTTAAAGAGTACTGCTTCAAACCATCTGCAAAGGCAAATTTTTCCACGTAAAACCTGCAAAACATTTTTGATTTTCAGATGTTTTCAGAATTAATTTGCAGATCCCCCATTCTACAAAATGCATAAAAATGGGGTAGTCTACCAACATGTTTGTTATTATGCAGTGACTCCTGAAATGCAAATACTTAGAAGATATGTCACAATGTTTTGTCTGAGCATACGAAAAAATGGAAAGGAAAGTGGCTCTATCTGGTAACTGCACCTTAGTTCATTTCTGCTGCATATTCAGAAGCATATAATTGTTTAAGGCATTATCTTTTTTCTGCACAAAAGAAATTCAGTTACTTGCAAATTGCAGTTCCTGAACCAAATACAACATGCTGTGACGCTGTAAGAGGATTTGCAAATTTTAATCGTCTCATCCATTAAAAAACATAATGATCAACTTGAGTATCTAGGCTGAAGCACAGCCGTCCTTGGACTTTGTTATTTTATTCACAACTTCAGTACATCAAACACAGACATCTAAATCTCAAGTAGTTTGTAAGTACCACAATGGCTGAAACCACAAATTTATTTATTTATTTTTAAAAAGTGGAGTTAAAATTTTACCCAACCAACCATAGAATTAAAAATAATTATTCATCTCAAGAAATGTGTTTAACGGGGGAAAATTGGAAAAACGGTTGTGAAATACTTCTGGCCACCAGCAGTAAAGCTGACTATAAATGCCTGTCTGCATATAATGAACCGTTTTAATATTCTTGGCAAATATTTGCAGTTATTGTTAACAGGGGCAGGAACTTTTGAGGTTGCTCAAATTCCAGACCAATATTTCTTAAAGCAAAGGATTTATGGCTCCACACTGTAACTTATGTGATGAAAGTAATTTGTCTCCCATCTAAAAATATGCAAGTGACCTAGACAGGACCAGGCTGAAAGCTACTTAATGGCACACACAGGAAGCCTAACACCTGACAACTTTGCAGGGCAAACTGTTCAGGACTTCGAGACACAGCAACTGGCACTGAAAAAAAGTGACAGCTTGAAACGCTGTACAAATTTACACTGTCCTCAAATTTTGGCTGGACACAATCCCAATAGGTTACAATATTTCTTTCAGGTTTCCCTGGTTTCTTTCGGGTTTCCTGTGTCATAGGAGCAATGAGCTTTAAGGTAAGTGAAAGGAAAAGGTAACAGAAAAGCTTTTTGAGGGGAAAACCTTCAGCTCCTTTCACTACAGGCTTACAACGAGAATTCCAATGCCAGGAAAGCACTGGTAGAGAAAGATTTCTGCAACAGTATTATTTAAAAAGCCATCTGTTAAGTGGTCTAGCACACGTTTTCCGACAGTAAATGAGTGTCAACAGATGTGCTGTTTTAACTGAAAGATTTCCTGAACTCCAGTTTACTACACTATACTGACCAGCAATATCAAAAGGTGCCAGTAGAATTATGAAACCCAGGAGAGGCTAATCTAACAGCAACCCAAAAAATCACCTACCTACAATTTCCTTTTCCAGGAGGTGTACCATAAAACAGGCCCACTCTGCATCCTCTATACAGAACATATTCTCTCTACATTTTCCAATAGAAATGCCTCTATCCTTCGAATTTTGAGGGTTGAGCGGGTTAGCACACACACAGCACTTATACATTGGTGCCCTCTGCTCTTTTGTGGATAAGGGAAAACCAGAATTCCTTAGTGCTTCTGTTGTGGCACAGTGGTACTGCAAAAGCATTATCACATGCATCTTAGGTGAACTTTATCTTATGCTACCATTGGGTTAGCACACACACACACAGCACTTATACATTGGTGCCCTCTGCTCTTTTGTGGATAAGGGAAAACCAGAATTCCTTAGTGCTTCTGTTGTGGCACAGTGGTACTGCAAACGCATTATCACATGCATCTTAGGTGAACTTTATCTTATGCTACCATTGCAAGACTCTGGTCTTGGTCTGCTAGGTTTGTTGTGAGCTTGATATGAGCTCCAAAATGGAGCTTGGTATGAGGATTCTCTCCTTACAATGTAGAGTTTAAGTCTGGGATAATAACAAAGGTCCTGAAAATATGGACGCAGGATGATAAACAACTTGCTGATGGTCCATTGCTAGCCACTGAAGAAGTTTAAACTCTGAGAGCTGGGAAAAGACTGCTTTATGCATAACAAGAAAAGAAGGAGCTAAGCATGAAAAATCTAGATGAACAATGGAGTGTGGCTTGGAAAATAGCATTCTCAGGCATTGTGTAGTTCTCTAGAGGGCAGATGGCAAAGGCTAAAAGCAGTCTAGAAATGCAGAACTTCTTATGAAAAAGCAACATTTTGAATGCGGGTGGTACAACCACCACAGGAATCACCACCACAGGACCACTGTGGGACTGCCACAGCTACAAGCATAACTCTTGCTGTCCCTGCCTTCTTGAAGGACTCTTTCTGTCTCTGCCTGCTCTGATAGCCCCATGTCCCACTTTCCCTCCCTTCCACCTCCCTCACTCTTCAAGGATCTTTCCACTTGTCAGCTAACCATCCAGGGCTACATAGAGCTTTTAGCTCCTTCTTTTTCTCTAAAGATAATTCAAAAGAATTTATGTACATTGCCTTAATTTTGTTGAAAAACTTATGAAAGAAACGAAGTGGTACATTCACTGCTTTCTCTAGAGGCATGTTTATAGTAAGCTGTCACTCTTAGCAACTAAAATTATTTATTTAAATCCAATCATTAGCAAAAAATTTTAAAAAGGTAAAATGTAAAGACAAAGCCAATCCAGGTTTCACAGCCAGTATCTGTGAAAGAAAATGACCTTGAATAGGATGCATAGTTCCACTTACAAGAACATTCCATAATTGCTACTGGGTAAAAGACCATCATCATTGCAACATTTTGTAGGAGCACGAGGCCTTCAGAAAGGCATGTACCCATGAGACCTGTGTCTGTTGTAGGTAGCAAGCCTAGAATAAGTGAGTCTCTAGAGAATATCCAGAAGTATCCTGGTACTGCACTGGAGCAGAAATAGAAGCCTATAGTGAAACAGTAAGAAACAATCACCAGACAGTTGTTGGGTTTTGCAATCAAGGGATGTCATGTAGGAAAGTATGACCACTGGTAAAAGTACTGGTTTGGTTACACCTGCCTAAAAACTGAAAACAATCCTCTTCTTTTAAGAAACAAATCCAGAGGGTTACCAAAAAGGACTACTATATGAAAAGTTACAGATGTAAAGCAGAGAAAGGTTAAAGATCAACGTCTGCCCTGCTTTTGAGGTATCTGGAAATCAAAATGAAAACATACAAAAGGCAGATGCAAGCACTTGCAATTTCAAATTAATATAAAGGGAAGGCACTGGCAAGAAAACATAAAGGCTGAATTTTAAAAATTAATTTACATTTAACAAGGAGTACAAGTGGTAACACAGACATGCTTCTTATTAAAAATATGAAGAAAGGAAATATAGGACCTTAATGGGAAAGAAGAACAAGCAACATGCTCTATGGAAGACTGAAATATTCAGTTCCTTTTGTCTATTGCCTTCATAAAAGTGGTGATATCTGATGAGAAACTGATATGTAGTAGGGCCTGAGGGTAAGTTAAATTTAGTGCATCCTTAGAGAGCTAGATGAACAATCCATGAATTACCAGTGATCATTTTTGCAAACTGATTATCTTGGAAGTTAGTGAATACCAGAGGGCTGTAACGGGGAAAACAGAAAATATATCTTTAAAAGGGGCCGAAAAAGATGATGTGGGGAATCTGTATATTGGTGACATGTATATTCCTACATAAGTATTAGATCAAATTATTAAAATGACAATTTATAAGCATCTAGAAGATATGAAAACTGTAACATGAGATAACACAAATTTGCCAAGAACATGCTTCTGTCAAAGCAGTACTATTTCTTCCTCTAACTGAACAGCTTGCCTAATGGTCTCAGCAATGGATATACTAATTCTCAACTGTAGTAAAGCTTATCAAAATGTCTTGGTGCTGTGCCATGCTACATTTCCGATAGCAACCTCTGGAAAACTACTTATGTCAAGGCGATGTCATTCAAAACTAAAACTCAGTGTCCATACTAACATTTTATTATCAAGGTGGAAAACAAGTGGTCGTAACTCATGTAATTGATAGCTTAGAAAACAAAATAGAATACCCCTATGGAATTTGGAAAGGCCAAGTTAAATAAAAAACACTTTGTAAGCCAAAATTAGAAATCAGAATCATCTTTGTAACTGGAGAAATGGTTTAAAAATCAACAATACATAAAAGTGAAAAATAATGTAAAAAATCAAATGGAGAAATACAAAAGGAGAAAAGAACATCTAGGCAGCAATACAGTGGGAACAGATCTGGTCATTAAAATTATTGCAAAGGAAATACATATCAACTCTGTGATACAAAAAAAAAAAAGCATTTTCAAACTGCTTTAGTCTGATAAGATATTAACTATTCTTATAAAATTTGCCTTGTTGTTATTGTTAGAAGATAGAACACATGGACCAAATTTTCACAAACACATTCTTACACACCTGGAAAGAACATACAAAGCACAGGAAACAACACACATGTTTCTTTAAAATCTATTTACTTGCCTGTAGCATCCCTGTTAGCTCTTATATCTATGTAATAGTAAACTACTATTTTGTAAATTTGTCCTTGAATGTTCATAAGAAAATCCTTTGAAAAGCTGTTTGAATATAATATTTGATCATTCAATATTTTACTACTTCAATATTTACACTTTAAAGTTTCTTAATGCATACTTCAGGTTCCTACTTCTCACATTCTCTACCATGTTTTAATGGTGGTAGTAAATAGGATTAGGATGCACTCCTTAAATGTTCAAATAAACAACTGTTGACATCAAAACAAAAAATTGAAATTAATATACCAGATACTAATTAGCAAAACAGAAATTTACTGTAATAGACTTTTCTCAAACCAAGGTATATCCATTGATATATACTAGCACATAATCCTGTCAGAGTCTTACCATTAATTACTGGGGTATAAACAACAATTCCAACTAAGTTAGGATCAGATACAGTTGTGTCCAGAATAAGGCCACCAATACTGAAAAAAAAAGTACAATATTTGGAATAAGGCAAGTAGTTACATTATTTAGTATTTCAAAACTTTTTAGCAACCTATTTTAGAACATCTTCAAGCCACAATGTTCTTCTCAATTCATCCTCCCCCTTCCATTACCTCGTTCTCAGCTACAGACTAACATCGCTTTAGTTATTTATATATTAAAATTGACTTATTGTATAACAAAGACCATAGAATTTCAGCCAATCACTCCACGTTTAAGATTCATGGTTTTCATTTGGCTAAATAACCTCTTAGATCTGTGTGCAATCTTGACTGGAAACCGCAGGAGATGAATAGCTCACCGTTTCCTTCATTTGATCCGACACACTCCTGCTCAGTCGATGCCACAGGCTACTGCTGCCTCCCCCCAGTCACTCCCACCTGTGATTTCACTTTGTAACTTCCTCGTTTGGGGAAGATTAAAGTATATTCACACTCTACATCCTAGAGGCTTCTTAAATATATCTTTTAAGTACAATCAGGTGTTAAATAAGATATATAGAGACACAGGGCGACTATCAAGACGACGCAAGACAAATAGACTTACCTGCTTATAACCATGGCAGTTATAACAGGCTCCCATCCTGAATGGAGAACAGTTCTGGTAGCTGGGTGTTTGGCAGCTATGACAATCCCCATCGGAGTCAGAGCCAAAAAAAAGGCACCAACCAAAGGAGATACATAGTAATATGTCTCTAAAATAATAACATAGAAAAAAAAATTCAAAAAACCTGTTTTTCTTTCCAAGACATTCTTTTAAGTTTTTCGTAATTTAGAACTCTCAAGTAACTTCTAATCTACATTATGCAATTGAGGAATTTTAATAGTCTTTATCATTACTCTACCTAAAGTTTCAGCTATTGCACTAAATAAGATGTTTATCATCTGCCATCTGTGATCACTGTCTCCCATCTTCTCAAGGATAGAACTATCTGTAGGAATTTTTATTTGATGCTTTATGATAAAAATGCAATAAGGATGTGGGACATAAAACATTATTTTGTAACATATCTACTAAAAAAGAAGAAGCTGAATACACTGAAAATGCATTTTGTTTATGAACAAATTCATAGTATATGTACACCCCCTTCTTTCCAAAGCACACATAATATGGTAATATTCCCAGAAATAGCATATCTAAAATGATGCAAGCACAATGTATAATATCGAGACATTTATATCAGTAGCTCAGTTGTTTGATAACCTGTCTGAGTCTGAAAATCCACAGCCACAATTCTGCTGCTTGCACCTATCCATCAGGATTGCATCATATTTCATAGTAACACAACTGCAAACACCCATGAATCCCATCACAAAGCTGAGCATACAAGGCAAACAGCTGCCTTCACAGAAAGAATACTATTTTTTCAGATTACTTGTTTTTATAATCTCATTCACACAGAAGCTATTACAGTGATCCAAGACTTTCTATTTCAACAGTGAGGTGAATAACGGAAAAATTATCCTAATGGCAACCATATATATATATAAACTATGCAAATGTTCCACTTTTACATATCTCTAGTTTTATTAGAAATGTGGTCATATATTTAATGTTGAATACATTTTGTTGTATCTTTCAGAATTTGATCTTTATGCAAAATATAATTTAAATTAACAGGCTGAAGTACTTAATGTGGAACACACAAACACTTTACCAAAGAAGAATATTTAGTATATAAAAAAGTATTCTCACCCATGTATTATGGCTTACTACAAAGGCTGCAAATTCAAACAATTACTACTTTGATGTTATCTTGGTGGAGCTAAAATTACTCTTGGAAGGATTGCTGTAGAGTTTTTAGAAGTTACTATCCTTCTGCATTGACTGGTAACAACCTCTGCAGTGGAGCCAGCAGAAAAGATAGTAAGATATCTTTCAGTGGGTAAGCTAAAAGTAGAAAGCTATTAGAATGAGAATGAGACAAAGCCCGAAAGAGAAGTAATTTTTTCCTTTACTTATCTAACTATTCTACAGCATAGTATCTCCTCCTTCCTTTGTGGTGCTTTTTTTTCCTTCTTTCTTCTCATTCAAGAGAAGAAAGAGTACAAGGTGGGCCTAATGTAAAGAGTTCTTACTCAAAAGAGCACACACACTACATGATTCCTTTATTCGATAATTATAGTTTTGTTTTATCAACCTTACTAAAAAAGACAAAAGCGTACTGCCCAGGTTAACACATCCTTCCCTCCGCTTTTAATGAAGAAAGATACCTGTGTGCACTATAATTGGTCACATGGAAAGGCATCATTCGTTCTATATATATTTATTTAAATTTTTGAAACTTCTTTCTTTTTCCTCTCTCTTTTTTCCCCTCTTTGTTTTATTTTCCGAGACACAAATCATACTGTACCCCTGCTACTTTTTCTTTCTCCCTCTCGTCTATTCCTCTCATATGGAGCCATTAGCATGTACCAGATGCCCAATTACTGATTTAAAGGTCAGAATGAGAGAATAGCTCTAAAGTAGTATATTTAGTAAAATATAAAAAGGCACAAAATAAGTTCCAAGTCTTTGCCACATTTTTGGAGAGGCAATTTTATTAAATTTTATTAAAAGGTAAAGTCCACTGGTCAGCAAAGATCCCCTGTTGCAAACAAACATTGAGCAGCAAAATACGGATGCAATGTTAAGCATTACCCTAATTAATCACTATTTTTTGAAATTCTTTCACTTGTACGTCAAAAATGAACCCGCTGAACTCTTTATTGCAGGACTTCTACCAAAACAGGAAAGGAAGTTAAAGTTCAAAAAAGTATGGCTTTTACAATAATTTCTTTTTTTTTTTTTTAATCCCACTAACAACTAAAGAACTTGTTAGAACATGTTCATGAAAAAAGGGAGACTATTTAACTATCTGCACCAGTCTCCAAGCTTGCAGAGCTAGTCCAAGAATGCAGTCCAAGAATTACAAAGAACACTAAAAATAAGTAAAGTATATAATGTAATTCCTTAGAATTATTTAAAAGATAACTTCTAAATAAATAATAATGATGTAAAATATAAAATATACATACACATGTCTTCCTGCCACAGAAATGTTTTGTAAGAAGTATAAAAAAAAAGGAAAAAGCCAATATAAGAAGACAGTCTTGCTAGTGTGTAATGATTAATGAATTATAATCAAAATAATTTATATCTGCAGTAGAACAGGACCACTTCAGAAGTCAGCAAGTAACCAGAAGCAAGGGTAGCTTTACAAATCTTAGAAAAAATGACTGACCCATAGCTGAGTATGAAACCTTTCACTAGCTGAACTCAACATATTTTAAGTTAGTTAACAGCAGCTACAGGAGGTAAGGAAATATGCATCCATAAAATGACACAAACTGACACTTTTAAAGCAAACAAAGCAAAAGTTAGATGAACTTCCAAGAGGGTGAATATGTGCTTTATAGCAATAAAAACAAAATGCATTGTGATATAAAAGACAGACATGAAACAAAATGCAACCAGGTTTTCTGGGGTTTGGGGTTTCTTTGCTTTGATTTGGTTTTTTACACACTATGATAGGACTTCCAAGACTAGTCAGCAATGGCTCAGCTTTGTTCATTTGAGTCAACAGCAAGTGAGAGGAGTTAATTTCTTTTGGCCTTATTGTTCAACATTTTAGTAAAAATGAATGTTTTAATTTCATCATGGAGAAAAGTACAGAGAAAACCTACAAAATAGGTTTTATAACTGAATCCTTTAAATGGAGTTGGACATAAAATGGATTATAAAAGCTACCCCATTGTTGCAATACTGTCACAAGTTTCTTTAAAAGAACAAAAGCCAGGAGTGCGGGGATCTCCAAGGACAAGACACAGCCAGAGCTTAGACTCTTTTTTTAAAAAAACTTTCTGCTATGATAATATACCAGCACTGCATTGGGATTGTCTGTTCTAAAGTGCTAGAGGGAATGATAAATAAACAAATAAATAGGTCACCAACCATCCCCATGCTGCTAAACAAGGAGGAAACCAGGCATACTTATTAATCTGTTTACAAGCTTTACACCAGACAACTGAAAAACACCCTGCCCGGGATTTTTAAGGCAAAGATGATGTAAAAATTAAGGCAGGGCAAACGCTCCCTACCAGAACTTCAAATTCTACTGCCTGTCTATGAAGTTTAATTGAAAACAGAACTATAGGAACAATTAATATTTTACAATTATATTCCACAATCCGTCACAAGTGAGCCATGATAAACGCCAGTTACCTACAGGACCTATGAAACTCCTCAGCTCCAGTCTAACTCTTAGGAACAGAGCACAGGAGTTTTTTGGAGTTTTTTTAGCTATAAGAGACTATACTGTAGACCACATTACTATAAGAATCTAAAAAGGGATTAACCTTGCAATGCATCTTTTAAGGAAGGGTGAGCCATCTTCCTCTTTACACGTAATTCACAGAAGAAGAAAATGTATTCTACAACAGCTGGAGAATGGGAAGAGGGACTAAATGACTCCTCTTTTAGGGCTCACTTCACTCCATTTTTGATAGATTTGTAGCAGGTAGCTTACATGGTAAAAGGAATATCGCTCAACCTGGATCTGCTATAGAATTTGTACCATCCCACAGTGGAAGATCAACTCCTAAAAGCACTCAACTCTTCAATGAATTTCTGACCACTGTAACTTTAAATTAAAAAAGGAAGGAGAGAAGAGGAAAGAGACAAAGTTCTCAACTGAGTCCTTACTGATCTTCATTTATGTTAAGCCCTCATCCCTTCAGTAAACAGTGATAGAAATTAATCTTCTAGTTCAGAGATCTCGGATGTTGCAATGTTTTACTCCTTGTGCCGCGTATCTGCTGTGACTTACTGTTCACTGCGGTGCCACTGAAATCAATGCAACCTCTAGTAGGAGTTAAGAGGTAAATTGCAAACATACTACTTCAGAGCAACTGGTAGGAACCTGAAAATAATAATGTGAATCACACAATTTGCCTTCTCAACCCAGATCCAACATGCAGGGGAGAGAAATTATTATCTTTAAGCCGCATTCTGTGACAAGAAAGGAAAGCTTTAAACAAAGGCTTCAGATCATAACTGACATATGACAAGCAACACAGACCTCCACATTTAATATATTGCATCTTCCTATTCCAGAGCATTCCCCTTGTTCTGTTCGAGGAACTGGAGCCGAATCCCTGCAACAGTCCTGGAGAGCCCTCTAGTGCTTTTCCCCAGTTATTTAACAATGGTTCACAGATACACTTCTTTTAGGGGAGTTGTTAAGGCAGATAGAGCTGTCAACCTTTTACTATTTGAATCGCCATCTTTGATAGTTTTGCCAATATTTTTTTAAGGCACTCAGATGAACTTCTAAGAAATTATATATATGATGGTGGCCAGACAAGATGTTTGAATTGGCTTTAGCCTCGTTAAGAATGATACAGTCTTCCCCAGCATCTTCTGGGTATGTCATGAAGTATCTTCTCAAACCAAAGGCTGAGCACGGGTGTACAGCTCTGTTACAGACAAGCAGAAAGCTTGTACATTAATAATTTCCCCTTTCCAGTCTTTTTATATGAAAACAACTCTTTCCCTGCAGAAAGGAGCCAGAAAATTACATTTTTTTTCAGTACATTTGAGTAGTTAGGCTAATAAATCATAAGGGAAAACAGTTAATTCAGAATACAGATCAGAAGCAAATCCCATCTGCACCATTACCACCCTGTAAACCGTGGGCTTCTTTATAATATTCCCATTGTTATTCTAGCATTGAGAAGGTAAAGAAAGAACAGAAAGAACATAAGAACATCTGTATTGGGTTGGGTGAGGCTGAAAGTGTGATCTAGTCCAGTGTCCTGTGTCTGACTATGGTCAACAGTTCAGGCTTGTGGAAAGAAGAAAAGAAAATCACAAGTTTAGGGATGTGCCTTTCAGTGTGCCCTGCCAGCTTCTGCTGCTCTTTGCCCCAGGGATTTCATCACTCAAGTTTCTGTTTGCACCTGTTCCATACTCCTCAATGGATTCTTCTCTGATTAACTTACCCAAATAGTTTTCTAAAATCACTTTTTTACTCTTAACACATCAGGTAGTAATTCCACATCCCAATCATGTATTGCTTACAAAATCTCTTTAACTTGTTTTTAACATGTTGCCTAGTCATTTTCTGAATGCCTCTTCCCTGCCATTCACAACTTTATATACCTCTCCTGAGCTGAAGCTACTCCATGCTTTTATTCCTTGTTACTATTTCAGAGCTCAATTAAATGCATCTTGGAAACCACACATTTCCAAGGGTTTTGTGGTATTTTCTTACTTTAGAAAGAGTCTCTGTTTCCCAAGGGAAAGAAGTAAAAAGACATTGAAAAAATAGAAAGAGCAGAAGCAGCCATTTTAGTGGTAACTAGAAAATTACATATATCACCAAAAAAGTATTTCCAGAAGACCATACAGAAAGACAATTGGGAGTAACTCTTAGAAGCGTACTTGAGTGCATCAATCCTTCCCCCTACACATATGTAAGATCTGTTTTTCAACTGAATGGCAGACTAACATGTGAGTGGCCATGACAGCTGTAAAAGCGGCAAAGGATCGGTGCAAACTGGCCCCACTTCTGTTTTTTATTCCTCTGAGATACAGTAGGTCATCTGTAACTAGAGATGTAAATTTCTGGAAATGTATTAAATGAAGAAAGAAGTCCAAGTTTCTTTCCCCATCTTCTTTTAGGGGTTGAATGTTTTTTGTTTGGCTTTTTTAGATTTTAAAAAAAGAAAAAAGGAAAAAAAAAGAATGTTTTAGAAGAAACTGAAATATTAGTAGTAATTAGTTACTCCTTTAAAAAAGAGAAACCTATTATCTGTGATTTATATAAAGCATAGGAAGCAGTACTAGATATAGTCACAAAATAATATATATTGTTTATTCACAAATGACAAATGTTGCTACTATTAAAATCCAGCTACTTAAAATACCAGCACATGTAACTAAGTTTTGCCTGTGGCCATTATTTTTAAAAATGGAAAGGAGTAGAGGAAGCTGTTTAAAAACAGTATTAATGATTTACTGCCTTTGAGTCATATGGATTCAACTTAGGCAATTATACAGAGAACATTACAATGCAAGTACATAAGAAACTAATATTTGTAGGGAAAAGATTTAGGAAACAAATGAAAAATCACTGGCATATTCATTACAATGTAGTTTACAAACCAAAACTTTAAAAAAATGAAGTTTGATCTACAGGGCGTAAGTTTCTACGAAGCTTCACTTGAAATACTTCCTAGTTAACATTTAAAGTCTGAAGTCTAGCATTAATAATTTTAAATCAAACCCGGTCTTGACCAGAATTAATTTTAATCATAACCCTAACCCCAAATCTAATCTCAGTGTTAAGGAGAATTGACAATCTCTTCCAACTCCAGACCTACTCAGAGAGCTAGTATATGCCACTGATCCTAGCAAACTCTCTCCTAGCTAACTCCTGTCCGTTTAGCTGGTAATACCAACTTTCCTGGCACTTCATTCACTAGCATACACCCTAATTTTGAACTGAATTCCAATCAAACACATCAGCTGTTGGGACCTGAAATCTTTTTTAAGCAGAATAACCCAATGTTCCAGTCTGGTCTGACTTTTAGGCACAGCAGTAAATCTTGATAAACAGTCTCTAAAGAGCTAAACTCCCAGTTATCCCAGTGTTAGTGTTATCCCAGTCCTAGCACTAGCTACAGACATCAAATTTCATAAGAATAGATGCTTCCTCTGTGTTTTTATCAGAAAAAAAGAAAGAAGAGAGGTTAAAAAAAATCTCTATTAATTTTCTTTTCACTGCAAGTCTATAAACTTTTTTAAAAGATGTACTTGAAGGAAGTTTTATTTGAGAAATGTTACTATAATATAATATAAACTATTTAAATAGTCACAAAATAAACAATACAATTTAAGTTTTAATAAAATATAGAAAATATTAAAAATGGTTGTATTGCACACTGAAACAGGTTGACATCACACCAACACTTTTGAAATATGTTTCTACGGAAGCAGTCAGTTGCAGCAATAATTTAATTTAAATATTATTCTGAACATTCTCCTATGAGAAAATGTTTTCATACTTTTTGTTTCTTCATGAGAGAGATAAAACAGGAAGAATAAGACTGATTTTTGAGTTCCTCATTCTCATTTTCCAAGCTCACTTCTCTTTTGTGACAATCAAGCATTTTATTACATCAGCTACTATCTGAGCATACTTCTAATAATAATAATTATAGGCACATTCCACTTTAGCAGACATAGTGATGATGAACCTTCTTCAGTGGTCTCTCCTTTAAGAAAACAGGATTTAGACAGTACAGGTGCTAGAAACCAGAAAAACAGTTTCAAAGGGACTATAGAAATATGCAAATGATGAGTAGAAGAATTACAGACTGAAAGAAAAAGTCATTCATAAGAAAATTAGTTTGGAGCTGTTTACATATAATTCACCTGTTCATAGCTATTAGTGGGGAAATAAGCAAACCATAAAAAACTGTCATCAAGAAGCCAGACAGAATTAATACATGAACTAGGATTAGATCATTGCCCTCTGTGGTCATTCACAAGCAAAGGCCTCTCCTTTGCTGCTTAGTTATTCAGAGTGGTTATAGATTTTTTCATCTTTCACGGCAGAACTGCTGTTCTGAAGAAAGCTACAGCTACAATAGCAGATTTATGTTTGAAATACAGTCATCAAATTTATGAAACAAAACAAAACAAAGAAAACGGAAGAGACTAGGGCTGCTAGAGAAGCTGGAAGTGTGTACTTCATGTCCTGAAAAGCAGAAGGAAATGCTGGTAAAAATCAATTCCAGGTGCAAGAAACATCAGGGAAACATGGAAGTGTCACACTGTCAGGGAAACAAGATAGGGGAGACCTGAGGAAACTGGTCTTGGAAGCTGGAGTAGTAAAAATGAGGAAACAAGGAGGTATTGCAATGGGAGCTGGAAAGCACTTGGAAGGAATCAGAAGGAAACTCACAGTAGTCTTTGTGTAAATCGTTTTAAAGCCGTAGCAATCACAAAGCACAAATCTATCTAAAATTAGGTTTCACTTCTTTGTATACATACTTATTGTAGACTAGCTATTGTTACTCAAAGCACTTAAATTATTGTTATTTTGGTTTCTGGGCAAAGCTACAGCTCAAACTATACTTGAATGTTGTCTAAAACCACACCCTTACAAAAAAGTTCTTAAAGCCGAACTCCTCTCCCAGCAGCTGATCAATTCAACCACTTCCCCTCAGTACAAGGGGAGAACACATCAAAAGGGCTCTGGGAAGTAAATATTTGATTTAGGGGTGGGCATTCAAGAAAACTTGGATAAGACAGCTTTCCTTCCCCCCAAGAAAGCAGAGTAAATTCAGCCAAAAAAAAAGTTTCTAATTCACACATAGATTGACTGTGATGCTCTGAGAGTCTTCCAGATACCAGTAGTTTGTGCCAAAATTGTGGTTAGTGACTTCTATCATCTTAAAAAAGATCATGGCATAATGTTGCAACCCAAGATTCATCGTTCAACGGTATAAATGTTGACAAAAGCGTCACTCAAACTAAAAGGTTTTCTAAACCTCTCCCCACCCTCCTAACCCAAAACAGGTCCCTAGGGAGACACACACACACACACTTAGAAATATACTTACCAAGGCAAGTATAAAGACCCTGACTTATCCATGCTAGTATAGCAAGAGTGATGAGATCTCCAAAACTTGCTGCTATAGGAGTGGCAACATTGTCAGGATTAATACCAGTCTTCTTTGATCCAACAATAACTCCAACCATTATTATTCCTGCAATCAACAAAAAAGGCAGTACTGTAATCATATCTACTGTTGCAACTCTACAGAAAATTCCAAGATATTAGCTCTTCCAAACTTGACAAACAAGAAGCCAGTGTTTTTGTCACAGGACAATTGTTCTTTCCACCTGAATGATGTCTGTGGTTTTAAGTTTTAGCCATATTTAAAAATTAGGTTATATATTAAAAAAAATACAGTAAGGTCACACAGATAAAAAATCAAGAAGAATCTGTACAATGAAGTATTTTTCTTATGAGTAGAATTAGAACTATTGACATTATAAATCAGCTATTTCCTGAAGATAAAAATATGCAGTGTGTTATTTTACACCCTGTTAACTTTAGCTGACTAAAATTTAAATTACACTAGGCTGAAAACAACCCTTAGATTAAAACTTTGACATCTGATATTGTGCAAGAATTCCAGTCATGGACTTCGAACCAAAAGTCAAGAAGCTACGTCATAAATTAAAAACTAGACAACATATAAAAATTTTATTTGCTATACTGTTAAAACATTTAAATTGAGGACGTTTGTTTCTTTTTTTTTTTTCCTATAAACAGCAACACTACCTTTTTAAGAGGCATTTCCCTGCAGAATGTAAGTGGCTACTAAAAATAAAATTCACTTTGTTATTAACAGTCTTCTTTGGCATAACCTCAGTAATTTCCCCATTTTATGTTACTTTAAAGAACTTTTAAAAAATCAGCGTTATAATTTTCATGTGTTTTAGCAGTATTATGTATTGTATGCTACATTAGGAGTTCACTTTCAGAAAAACTGCCTAAAGAGTTATACTCCATTAAATTCTCAAAAGAATCTTAAATGATCCTGTAGTATCACAGTATTTCAAAAGCACCTGTTTCACTTGTAGGAGGATGAAGCTTAGACAGTAATTTCCTGTACTGGCCCATCACCAAATAACACAATTTCTCTTAATGTCCAAATTATACGTGAGAAGTGAAAAAAAGGCACTCATTTTCCCTCGTTCTCTTGCTGCTCTTTATTCTGTGCATGATCAAACTCAATGGCTCTGTAGTCACTAAAAAAAAAGTGTGTTCTTAATTCCACACAAAACTTAACAGTTTTGTAATTTTCACATAAGTAAGCATTTCAAATTAGTAAAAAAAAAGAAGTTAAATATTTTATTTGACTTACTATTAAGACTATAGAGTATGTATTTTCACTAGAATATATCTCAAGTAGAGGTACTTTTTCCCCCCTCATGTCCATTAAGTACCATCTTTTATGGTTAAATGTTTCCTGACAATTGGGAAGAGAAGATTAAATTCGTCACACCATATGGCTCCAGACAGACATTGGCACTGTTTGGAGAGAGGGACTTGAACTTGGCCCAAACCCTTCCCATAACAAGCCAATTTGTTCTCTTCACATACAAAGCAGAGCACAAACTAACATATTAGCAGCATGGGCAACTAGAAGTTTGGATTCAACTGAGCTAATATCTTGAGCTTACTTACAAATAAACTTATTAGTTTAGTAATAAAAGTATACTTTGTGCATTAATGAATATAGAAAGCAGGGGAGAAAAGGTCTCCATCATATTAGGTGAAATCTAAAAAAAGCATACTTTTTGCTTTAGATATACTCAGGATTCAAATCTTTCAAAAGAATATGACAGGAGAGGATTGCAATATGCAGACCTATATGGAAATTGCAAAAGGGCATCCTATCCTCAGCTGTGTTTCAGATGTATTAAACCTTACTGGATTTGAATTTTTAAGGAATAGCAACATAATATTAATATGTTCAGTAACTGGAAAAAGTAACATATATACTACTTTTACCTTGTAAAAGAGAAGCTATGAAGGCAGTTGCTACACTGCTAGAACACAGGAGGATCGAATGATCAAAACGGTATTTGCCTTCTGGAATCCAGCCCAATATAACTGCTGCCACTGCTGCCAGAAAACCAACTACTGTTGCCTGAACCTAGAAAAGAAAAAGAAGAACAATTCTTAAAATTGATGAAGTTAAGAGGACTACAGAATCATTTTCTGTTGCTCTTTCCTCCTATTTACATTTATTTGCAAGGTGTAAAGGATGAATGTTTATCTATTTTGTAGAGATGATAACTTTAAGTGAACAAGAAGAAAAATCTTATGCCAGCAGAAAAGGCTTTACCAACGTTTCAGAGACTCAAGAATAACAAAAGTAAAATCAAATAAAAGAGCTGGGGATTTACCAGGAGCCAAAGGTGAAATGCCTGAACAGGTTTCTAAGCCACTTAAAACAGTGAAGTCACAGCATAAACATTTTGTCTATTTTTTGAGCATATTGTATTATAACACATGAACATAAAATGGTTCTTAATCTTAAGAAATAGTTGCTTTGGAGAATAAACACACCTTTCCTCAAATGAATTAGCAATTTAAAATATTGTTTATTATCCAAAAGGTCTATCACATACTTCCTTTAAACGTTGAATCCAATGCAAATACAGTACTGAAAACTTTGGAGAGGTCAAATTTAAAAGGTTTGGCCAAATCTGAATTTTTTGTCTAACCATCCTCAGATCTTCTCTCAGAAAAATTAATAAGGAAATACCCTTGGTGCAATCACAAAGAATAGTTTACCTCTTCTGACAGATATAAGCTCGTATTGTTTCAGAGAACTATACTGTTCAAAAAAATCAGTCAGGTAAATATTGTATGTTAAGTATGAGGCAGTGTAGTAGAGCTAGTTTCCCATTAACACCGTCCATGTCCATGCATCCATACTTACCAATGCTTGCCAATAACTTCACTCACAAGAGTTAATCAAACAAGCCCATTATATTTACCTGTTTCAAGGCTAAGTTGCCAATTATTAGGTTCCATTTCTCAATGGGAGAATCCATTTTTCCAATATTTACCTGTCAAAATTACAAAAGAATTTCAGAAACTTGTGTTTAAAATTGTATTACTTGAAAGTGCACTAACAAGGCAGAGCCCCACAAATAATTCAACTCATATTAAAAAAAGACACGTTCTGGAAGCAAGTTAAAACCAAGCTATACTTTTTTTCAAGCCAAACATCGCTGTTGATTTTAAATTGTACTTACAGTATCTATCAAAAAATTGCTAAACTTGATGCAGTTTCATATAGGAACTTAACATTAGCTTACTGTGCAAGATACACTAGGCACCTTCATTCCAGGAATGTCCAAGGATCACCAGTGGTCAGAACAGTGGCTGGAAGGGAAACTTGTCAGTGTTCAGTCACTTTAGTCTGAACTTGTTCCTGTGGCCCTTAAATTCTATAAGCCAATAGAGAAATGTGTGCTTACATGTGTGTGTGGACACACACAGTCTCATGCAAATATGCTTATTGCTTGCAGTGAAACTACCTGCACAGAGAAACAGCAAGTGCTTACAAAACATGAGAAACTACATCTAATACTGTTTAGGATTCTAACTTTTCATTTGTACAATACAGCTAGGGACTTATGACGTAAATGACGTAAGTCCAGTCCTAAGGCAGTAGCTGGAAAGACAGAAAATAAATTATTCTAAAAAATGAAAAAGCACTTACATACTCTTTTATAATGTATTTCCTACTTTTACTTATTTTTTGAGTTAGAGGACAACATCTGAAGAAAAGTACATACTGCTGTACTATATTTAAAATCACTTCCCCTAACTTCCCTTTTGAGATAACTGAACTTTTTTTTACATGTTGAGCATAAATGTTAGTGGTTTTTCCCCCTAGAATACTAATTCATAAGATAATATACTTCTCAAAACACAGAAAGTCTTAATGTGATTTTTTTTCCTCTTCTGATAATTTCTTTCCAGCTGATTTTACTTACCTTTCTTTTCCACTTTGCTCAATTTTGTGATAGTAGTGACTTGTAAGGAACAAAGTATTAAAAGAAATGCTAACTTAAAGACTTAGGAATATAGTAAGACACTATCTCAATCTACACTATAAGTATTTTCCCGTGTTCAAAGTACAGTCAAAGCTCTGCAAATACATGCATTAAATTTAAATATTACAGCATTATTTAAGGAAGTGCAGCTAAGAATCTCCTTTACATCCTTCTTAAACATATATGCTAAATGAAAGAAACAGCAGGCTATGGAGAGCTTTGCTTTTCTTCTCCTTTGAAGAAGTTTTTGAAAAGTATCCAAAAAATCCCTGTTAAAACAATGATCTTGCAAAATGCTTGATCCAGCCTAAAAGTGAGCTGCTGCAAAAAGGCATAGTTCTGCTCTCCCCTACTATCAGCTATAAGTTCTTTTTTTTTTTCTTGAATTAGATCTACCGGCCCCATGAGTGAGTTCATGGCAACATAAATTTGCTTGCTGGTTTGTGGAAAACACTTTTTTTCATGGAGCAAAAAGCCGTTATCTTCAACTAAATTGTCTGATCCATCACATGCAGCCATGCACAAATGCTCTTAGATTTTGGAAGGGAGAAAAAGAGCAGGATGACACTTTTGGGCTGCAGATTTTCACAAAGTAAGATCAAGTTTATTGTGATACTGTGGAATAGATGGATGTAAACAAAAAGTTTCTAAAGTCATACTGCTAATGCCTAAACCTGATAACACACAGTCAAAACAAGAGTCTGCATAAGTTCACATGGGTGACTGGATCAGTGGTGTTTTGCTGTTGGTTTTTGGTTGTTGGGTTTTTTTTACTTCCTCATAAAAATAAAGAAAGAAAGAAGAAGAAATATGGAGAAAAGGCAACAGTGTGAACTGAGACAATGACAGTGACTCAAACTACAGAAGAAAGCTGAAGAATACAAAACACACAATATAAATATTGTGCTTGAATGGGGAATTGACCTAAGTACACCTCACACAGCACAGCAGTGGAAGGAGGGAGAACAGTTTACATGAACACTGACACCAAAGAGAAGTACAAGCTATGCCACAAGGTAGATTAATAGATTAAAACCACAGTCTTTAGACATATTTAGTGAAATGACTGATTCTAAAGTGGATGGGAAATTGTGAGTGACCAGTAACAAGCGGCCCAAACAGGAATTTGGGCAACAAGATGAATGAAGGTGATTAAGTAAAACTTGAAACCAGATATATTATGGATAACAGAAACTTGCTAACAAAACATTACTCTATGGCTGACTACACAACTACAATAAAGATAATTAGTTTACAGTCCCAAGAGGATAAACCTGTACACAAATTCAGATGCAATTATAAACTAAATGGAGCAAGAAGGATATGAATTAGCTTCAGTTCTGAACTCATGTTAGAAATTTCCTCCTCAAAGGTAAAGCTATTCACAGGGGCACAGTCTTGCATTTAGTTTAGACAGTGTTTGGGGGGGGGTGTATGTGGGGAGAGGAGGCAGTTACTGCAAATTTAGGTCAAATAAAGGAAGATTAATCATACAACTGCCTCCAAATAACTGTTAATATATACCCTGAATTAATATACTCCTTCAGTTTTCACTCAGGATGAGGATGACAGGACCAAAGATTGGATGGCTTAGGAGAGTAGGGATCAATGAAATCAACATGAAGACTGCAAAGGTCAGAACATTCTCTTCCATAGAAGTCTGAGAGAACTGGCATGTAAATGGCAGGTCCAGTAGCAAACTTTTGATTAAATTGTCCAGTAAGGAGTGTTACAATATGATACAGCACCTGTTTTTGAAACCTGGGGGAAGCCGAGTAATCAAGGCAATCTCCTGGAGTTCAAATTTGTATCTGGCAACAAAGCCAAAGTTGTCACCTGTAAGAAGTTTCATGTAACATGTAGCAGGTTTCCATAGTTTTTTGGTTTGTTTTTGGTAATTAACAATTAGAAACATTAAGAAATTAGAAAAACCAACCAGCTCTCAGAGCTGTGCATATTGCAACTGGAGTTGAGCGTGACAAAAGATACACAAAAGAAAGTTGGAAGGTTCTTTGCAAGATAAAAGCCATTTTTTCAGTTTTTTTCACATATACAAGCTAAATATAATCTTGCTAGCAGTATCTTAATAATGATTAATCTATAATGTTCTTATTTTGTACAATATTGTTCCCTTAAACCTTCACTGTGTTGTGCACACATACACACACACTCCACAGAATTTACTGATGAGCTCTTCACCAACTAGAAAAAAATCAGAGCCACCATTGGCAAAGGAGAGAGAAAATGTTCACCAAACCATGACACGCCTCTACCTCTTCCCTGTGAACTATGTCCAGTGAACCTACAATATGATTAAGGAAGTTCCAGAAAGTATTTCAATTACTTGTGTAACTTACTCTGGGGTCTACCATGATTCTCGAAAAAAAGAGGTCATACCAGGAAATTAGAGGCGTTGGAAAACAAATGAAAAAAAAAACAAAAAACCCACAAGTCTTGTTGATGCAATGCTGGGAAGTAGTTTGGTGCCAGCAATGCTGTGACCGTGACTTCAGGCAACGCCAAAGAAACTGGAGCTCCCACATGCCACATAGCATTGTCTGAAGAAATGTACACTTCACCGCCCTCTTTGTAGCCAGTTAATTAAGTGTGGAAGGCTGTGAACAGAACAGGCTGAAATGATTCGGCCAAGACAGACACACAACCACTTCTGGTACCAGGGAGGAAGCCTTCATGGCATGCTTGAGTAAAAACCTTTGAAGCATCAGCTGATTTATGTCTTCGTGAGACTTAATGACAGTGGTGAGTGGCTCTGGTAACACTCCTCAAAGTAAGCCCTCTCAGAACGGGCTGCTGAGTCTTGGTAGGAGCCTGGGCTTCAAATGGACAAATTGGCTCTGAAAAATCACGCTCAACACATCTACAGACCATGTTACCAAACAGTTAATGGGATATTCTCAAGAATGTCATTTTGGGCTGAGGGGAAGTGGCTTGAACCTCATTATGCCAATTTTAGTTAACCACTGAACACACAGCCAGTGCTGGGGAAACCCCAGTATTCTTTTTCTGTGTATGTGTGAGGGGGACCAACTCCTTGACTTTTGGTAACAGGTGATGGATAATATGAACCAACTTCAGGATTCCCAGTGCAGAAACCCTGCATGACCCTTTTCCAAATGTCCCCTAAGAGCTGCGAGGTTCACAAATAGATGGCATTGGCGAGGATGGGGAAATCAGCCATTAACTGCCCCAGAGAAGAAGTTCTGGAGTCATGATCTGGCAAAGGTCCTAAGTTGAATTGAAACAAAGAATTAAAGAACCCATTAATGGAAACAGAATTGATGGAGCTGATTCTGACCCTCTTTTTTTTTAAACCTTTAGTAAGGCACTAGTAGATCTTGGACTTGGTATATTTTTCACTATGTAATACAAGCACTTTCAATCCTCAGGCCACAGGAACAAATTAAGAAACGAGCCAACACCAAAAAAAAAGTAAGGTAAAAGACAGAAATATTCATGCCTGACAATAAATGCAGTAAGGTTTAAACACAAAATATTGTTAAGAAACAGAGAAGTAAGAGCACTAAAATTAAACAGAAAAAAATATTAAATAGCTCAGGGTGGAATTGATAAAGATACAATAAAACATGTCAATTCTTATGTAGGAAAGAATTGATGTGGCAAAAGTAATCAATTTCTATAATGGGCATGACACAAGCAAACATGCATAGGACTGCTAAGGTTATGTCCATCATAGTGTGCATTTGGGCAATAACTCAATATAATGTGGCAATGAAATTTACTAATGACAGAAAACTTGGAGACCTTGTCAATACAAAGCACTGCAATATTGTACAAAAACTGGATGACCTTGAGGATTACAGCAATGAAAACAGATGCAATTCAACAATACAAATGCAAGGTCATGCACTTACGGACTAATAATATTTCTGCCAGAATACTGGAGTGACAGCTGGAAATAACACAAAAGGAGAAATACTAGGACACGTTCACTGATCACAAAGTGACTGTGAGGTCTAAATCTGACACTGCTAGGAAAATAAGTACATATAAACCTATAAAAAGTTTCAAGAGCAAATTTTGAGAGAAATAGGGAGGTGTTGTTCTACAAAGCCATAGTAAGGTCTCATTTGGAGTTATATACACCTTTGACTAAACATTTTCTAGAAAGACTCATTCGAGCAGGAACAGGCAGACACTGGGTCCTTGCTGGAGAATAGAAAAAACATCTTACAAAGGAAAAGCACTGCATTAGGCAGTGTGTTACAGAGATACCCAGTTCAGGTACCAGAAAGAATTTAGCGATGTTATTAGAATATTCTGCTCATTATAGTTATTCACACACAAAAAAAAACTATACGGTAAGGTAATCTGGTTGGCTTTGGCTAGAAAAAGGAAGGAATGAAACAGCCTCAGAGATGCAGAAAAGAACTATGACAAATATGTAAGAAAGAGGATGTAGAAAAAACGTAGTTATGCCATGTTACAGTCTTGACAGACACACAAAAATAAGCAGACACCC